TCTACCTCTCTCTCTGTGCCTCTCATGAATAAATAAAATCTTAAAAAAAAAAAAAAAGATTTAAAGAGTACACACATGAGCAGGGGGAGGGGCAAAGGGAGAGGAAGAAGTAGACTTCCCACTGAGCAGGAAGCCAGATGTGGGGCTCGATCCCAGGACCCCAAGATCATGCCAGATGCTTAACTCACTGAGCCATCCTGACACCCCGATTTAGCACTTTTTAAAAAAGACAATAACAAGAGTTGGTGAGAATGTGCTGAAACTGAAACCCTCATGCATTGAGGCAATGTAAAATGGTACAGCCACAATGAAAAACAATGTGGCAGTTCCTCAAAGTTAAACAAGTTACCAAATGACCGACCAATTCTACTCATAGGTATGTACCCAAGACAAATGAAAACATGTCCACTGAAAACTTGTAAACAATATTCATAGCATTATTCATCAGAGCCAAAAAGTGAAACAGAAACAACCCAAGATTCATCAACTAATGATGAATAAACAAGCTGTGGCATATCTATACAATGGAATATTAGTTAGCAATAAAAAGTAATGAATACATGGATGCACTTAAAAAACATGCAGAGCAAAAGAAGCCAGACACAAAGGGCCACATGTTGTTTGATTTCATTTATATTTATATGTCCAGAACAGGCAAATCCATAGAAGACAGAAAGTAGATTGGTGACTACCAGAGGATCTGAAGGCAGAAGGGTGGAAGTGGGGAAAGACTACTAATGGGTACGTTTTCTTTCCTGCATAAAAATGTTCTGAGGGGAAAAGTTCTAGGGGCACTTGAGTGGTCCTTTAAGCTTCTGCCTTCAGCTCAGGTCATGATCACAGGGCCCTTGGATCAAACCCTGAGTCAGGCTCTCTGCTCAGCAGAGAGTCTGCTTCTCCCTCTTCATTTGCATACATACTTGCGTGTTTTCTCTTTCTCTCTCACTCAAAATCTTTTTAAAAAATTCCTTTTAAAAAATATGTTCCGGAATTATATAGTGGTGATATGGGATAACCTGGTGAGTATACTAAAAACCACCAAACTATACACTTTAAAAAGGTGAATTTTGTTATATGAATTATATTTTAATTTTTTAAATGTTAAATTAAAAAAAAAAAAGGTCTGCAAATTGGTCCTTTAAAACACAAGATTCCTTTCTGAATTACTAAAGTTGGAGTGCTTAAATCACTGAAATAAAAGGTAAAGTAAAAAGTTCCTTACTAGCAACTGAGCCAGAGTCTCAGGTTAATGTCATTAGCACTGGGATTCCTATAGTAGGTGATGGTTTGGATTACATACGTGGGAGGGCTCCCCCTTCTAATTCTCAACTTTAAAAATAGTGGTTAAATTTCCCAAATTGAGTCACAAAAGTTATTTAAGTCTTATCTCCTTCTCCACCTGCAAAGTACACTACAGTCTACAAGTATCAACCTTTTCTTTCCCCTCTTCTGTTCTTTCCACACGGATGCCCTCAGAGAAAAAAGAAAACTATTTAGCTAAATCATAAAAGCTGTGAATGATCTACAGCTATAAACATGATTCCCTCTCCTCAACTCCTCCAACTCTCTGGATTGAAATAAATATTACTTGGGCAATTTAAGAAATCAAAATATAAAGGATTAGCAAGAATGCCACCAAGATGAACATGCTATACTGGATGGTGATATGCCCTTGGGCTCAGCTTCCCTGTCTTTTCCAGCTTCATGCATTTTAAAATCAAACATGCACTAAAATTCTTTTCAATTAGGCTCTAGGAACCATCTGCATTGGAACCACCTGTGGTGTCTGGGCCAACGAAGACTTAGAAAATCATAATCTCTGGGGACAGAATCCATGAACTTATTTTCAAAGTTATTCTTACATACACTAAGATTGCAAATCACTGCTCTAAAAAGTTCGACAAAATGGGACCAACAGCCGTTTAAGGTATAGGTAATGTGTAGGATAGAGACTACCTGTGTTATGAAGACGTCATCACTGCCCTGAGAAGTTCACCTGTCAGAACACTATGTCTGGAACCCATTCACGATACCCTACTCTGTTAAATATGAATGTAATGCATGTGTTGCATGCTGCAAAACATTAAATGGCATAGATATAAAGTAGATGACCAGATTTTTTTCAACATACTGAGGAAAACATGGAAAAGAAGACACTGGGCAGCCCCGGTGGCGCAGCGGTTTAGTGCCGCCTGCGGCCCAGGGTGTGATCCTGGAGACCTGGGATCGAGTCCCACGTCGGGCTTCCTGCATGGAGCCTGCTTCTCCTCTGCCTGTGTTTCTCTCTCTCTCTCTCTCTCTTTGTGTGTGTGTGCCTCTCATGAATAAATAAATAAATAATTTTTTAAAGAAAGAAAATACTATTAAAAAAAAAGGAAAAGACACTGTTTCTAATCTTATCTCTTCTGTACCTGAATGATTGAATTTTTTTTTAATTTTTATTTATTTACGATAGTCACACACACAGAGAGAGAGAGAGAGAGAGAGAGAGAGAGAGAGAGAGAGAGAGAGGCAGGGACACAGGCAGAGGGAGAAGCAGGCTCCATGCACCGGGAGCCCGACGTGGGATTCGATCCCGGGTCTCCAGGATCGCGCCCTGAGCCAAAGGCAGGCGCTAAATCGCTGCGCCACCCAGGGATCCCTAAAGAATTGAATTTCAGCTAATAAAGACCTAAAAGGAGAGAAACTTCACTAAATCAAGTCTTTAAAAACTAGTTTCCCCAGGTTGCCTGGCTGGCTCACTCAGTAGAGCATGTGACTCTTGATCTCAGGGTTTTAAGTTCAAACCCCATGCTGGGGGACGCCTGGATGGCTCAGCAGTTTAGTGCCTGCCTTTGGCCCAGGGCATGATCCTGGAGTCCCGGGATAGAGTCCCACGTCGAGCTCCCTGCACGGAGCCTGCTCCTCCCTCTGCCTCTCTCTCTCTCTCTCTCTCTCTCTCTCTCTCTCCCTCCCTCTCTCAAGAATAAATAAAATCTTAAAAAAAGAAAAGAAAAGAAAAGAAAAGCATGCTGGGTGTCTTATAGAGCATACTTAAAAACAACAACAGGGGATCCCTGGGTGGCTCAGTGGTTTGGCGCCTGCCTTTGGCCCAGGGCGCGATCCTGGAGTTCCAGGATCGAGTCCCGCGACGGGCTCCCGGCATGGAGCCTGCTTCTCCCTCTGCCTGTCTATCATAAATAAATAAATCTTTAAAAAAAAACAACAACAAAATTTCCAAGTAATTTCAAACAACATACAGACGCAGCATACATCTGTCACTACTAGGATGGTTCTTCCTAGCATTATGTTAATGACTTTCCATAACAGTCTTCACTTTTCTACTCTGACCCTCCCAATTCTGCCAACAGGTTTATTCACTGAAATAAACTCAAAGGTGTAAGAAAAGTCCTTGATTTTAAACTATTTATGTTGATACACAATAGCCCTGATTCTGTTACTGCTTCAAGCTTAAAAAGCATGGAGAATCTCTTTAAAGTAAATGGAAAGTTTCTGGCCCACAGACAGGAAACATCTAGAAATTACTACCAAAGATTTATTTCATCTCCTTTAATTCTATTTTCAAAAACAGATACGTTTTGATAATAAAAGTCCCAGTGTTTTAAAATATTATCTAATTACTGGAGCAATATTCATTCATTTAAAGTATTTACGGAGCATTCACTACATACCCCCAGACTATTTCAGTGCTAGGAACAGGAATATGGCAGTGAAAAAATATGCTAAATAAAAATACCTCTCACAAAATTATATTGATGATTCAGTGTCCAAATTACAAATATCGAGTTACAAATATTACAGTATATGTAGGCAGGAGAGACCAGGACCTATAGTAATCCTACAGCAGACCAAGCAAATGCGTTTCTGAAACAATTTCTATCACTTGATTTAAAAGCAAGAAAAAGTGCAGAATGTCTATGGTCTCCAAGTGTTTGAAAATATCCTATAGTACGTTGACCATTAAATTCCCTCTCGTAATATTTATAATCTAAAATGCTGTGGCAAGATACAGCAATAGAAAATGAGCAAACCGTCCCCTTCTCAACCGAATAGATCATTAAGAAATGAAAACACTTAAAATCAATATATCAAGTAATCTCTATAATGTGTTTCTCTGAACTCTTAAAAAAAAAAAAAAGTCCTATGATTCTTAAACCAAGAAACACAGCAGGCAGAAAAAAATGAAACTTGTACTACTTCTCTGTCACTCTAGAAATAATTTATTTCTCCAACATTTCTGCCTATTAAATATGATGCTATCTAGGAGACCCAAAAACGAAAAGACCTGAGAACCCTGATGCCCAATTTGGACGGAATACAAAAACCACAGCCTATGCAGAAAAACTGGTTATTCCTTCCCAAGTACAGGTGGTTTCGAGGGGGATGTTTTTGTTTGTTTGTTTTGGAGGGCTTCTTTTGCTTCTTGGGGTTTTTTTGTAATTGCTGCGGCGATCTCGAACCCTGAAGGGATTGCACTGCAGGCAAACACTCAGGTTGTCAGACAGCTGCGGCCTTCTCGGCCCCGACCCGGCGGCTCCAAAACTGACTCCGCATCCCCGGAGCAAGCCAAGGAGAGGAATAAAAAAAGCCACGCTCCCTAGAACTACCCGAGGAGGGGCCAGCCGGCCCACCACGAGCCCAGGGTGGCCCCGCGTGCCCCGCGCGTCCCCCAGGTGCCCTTGCAAGCAGCCGCCCGCCGGCCCAGCCGCGCCCGGTCCCCACGGGCTCCAGTTCCGCCCGCCGGCGGGTCCCTCCCCCAGCCCGCCCCCGAGACCCGCGGGGCCCGCCGCGCCGGCTCCGCCCCTCGCCTCCCGACCGGGCCCGGATTCCCAGGCCCGGAGCAACGCAGCCCCGGGCGGAGAGGCGCGGCCGAGCCCGGGGAGCCCCGGCGCCCCCAGCAAAGGCCGCAAAGGCCAGCCGGGAGCGGGCGCCGCCGCAAGCCCCCCACCGGGCCCGCGCCCCGGACTCCGGCCTGAGCGGACACCGCCCTCGTCGCGTACCTGCGTCCCCACCACGACGATCTGAGGCAGCTGGATGATGTCGGCGCCCACCGTGTTGAAGACGTCCTGGAGCTTGTTGATAACAGGAATTAGCGCCTCCATGACTCCGAGAACGCGGGACCCTCGCCCGGCCGGCCGCGGCAATGAATGGGGCCGGGGCCCAGAGTCCGCCTCCTTCCTCCTCTCCTCCGCCCTCTCCTCGGGAGCCGGCACCCATTGGACCCCGCCCGCCCGCTACCTGCCCCCTCCCGGCGGGCCGTGCGCTAAGAGGAAGGTGGAGAGGAGCAAAGTCTGCCGGGAGTTGTAGTTCTGGGGGGGCGGAGGACCGCGGGGGGGTGGGGGGGGCCTACGGCTTCCAGAAGGCTGTGCGGCGCCGGGCGGAAGGAGGAGCTGGGAGGGCCGGCTGCACGGGCTCCTGTCGGAAGGCTGGGGGGCCAGGCCCCGAGGGTAGGAAGGAAGAGACCCGTTTACGCCTGTTCGCGGGGCGCAACGAGGGCGAAAATGCCGGAAGGGAATATGTGTTAAGTACAGCGGGGTAGCCTGAGGATCCAAGATGCCATTTCCTTATGCAGAAGCTTGCTTAACCGGGACGGGTTGAAGAGACTTAAAGGAGTAGCTCATCGCCTCTGGCTCCCCGACCAGGTGCGGGGGTGTGTAGGCTGATTCTGCGGAGGGCGTGCGCTGCTATTTTGCAAAACAAAACAAAACAAACAGAACGTCGGTCCCAGTTAGAACACGCGGGTTCTCCCGAGATTTCTGTAAAAACGTTTTCAAAATAGCACGTTCAGGGCAGCCACGGTGGCGCAGCGGTTTAGCGCCGCCTGTAGCCCAGGGCGTGATCCTGGAGACTCGGGATCGAGTCCCACGTCGGGCTCCCTGCATGGAGCCTGCTTCTCCCTCTGCCTGTGTCTCTGCCTCTCTCTCTCTCTCTCTCTGTCTCTATGAATAAATAAATAAAATCTTTTAAAAAAATAAAAAAAAATAAATAGCACGTTCAGAAAGAATCTTAGGTGAAGAGTTTTTGGAGGGGAAAGGGCTAAGCCCCTGTTCTCTATATTCTGTATAAAATTTTATTTTGCCCTGACTCCTGGCAAAGTGGAAATCGATCTGATAACTGCCTTGCTTGCTTTTTTTTTTTTTTCCAATTTGGGTTAAGTGCACCTACGGTAGTAGTCAAAATTTGCCTTTTTATATTCTTTATTTTTTAATTTTTAAAAAATACTTTATTTATTTATTCATGAGAGAGACAGAGAGAGAAGCAGGCTCCATGCAGGGAGCCCGTCGTGGGACTTGATCCCAGGACTCCAGGATCACGCCCTGGTCATAGGCAGGTGCTAAACCGCTGAGCCACCCACGCATCCCTGCCTTTCTTTTTAGACAGATACCTCTCCTCTACTCCAAACCTCCAAAGATTTATCTCAAAAAAAAAAAAAAAAAAAAAGTGACATTTGAGCAAAGATCTAAAGTAGTTGATAAGAGGTGTGCCTGGGTGGTGCAGTCCGTAAAGCACCTGCCTTGGGCCGAGGTCATGATCCTGGGGACCTGGGATGGAGGCCCAGTGGGGCTCCCTGTTCAGCCAAGAGTTGGCTTCTCCCTCTGCCCCTCCCCCAGTTCCTTCTCTCTCTCTCTCTCTCTCTCTCTCTCTCTCTATCTATCTCTCTCTCAAATAATCTTAAAATAGGTGAGGAAAAAGCCCCATTCCTTTATTTTTTTTCTCCATAGTATTTGTGTCCATCTCACATGCTACGTATTGAATTGCTTGACTCTCTGCTCTTGCTAGATTATCAACTCCTAGAAGCCAGGGATTTGGGGCTATTTACGGATGTATCCCTAGCCCCTAGAAAGTGACAAACAAGATAGGTCCAATCCCAGTCCCATCTGGGTTTACAGTCTCACAGGATGACACCATTATAAATGGGTAAAGTGCTGTGACTGGGTGGACTATAGAACACATAATAGCACTTTCTCTACTCTGAGGGGAAAGAATGAAAATTCAAGCAAGACTTTCTAGAAGTCACCAGATTTAATCCCCAGGAGGGTAAGGACCACCTGCAATGGAAGTTGTACACTATACAACCGGACTGGGTACCATTCACCTGCACAGCCCTACACGGTAGCCCTGAGAACATGCTCAATTTGTTCAGCAAGATACATGGTAAGTGCTGAATATTTTTGGACAGATGAATAAAATATCATTTAAGCTAAGAGCTGAAGGTCCACTAGTAGTATTTTGGCATCTTACCAAGTATTATGAACATTCCCTTCTCTTTTCAAAAACAAAACCTTCAGAAACAGAGCAAGACAAAAATTTCAGAAGCCCAAAAAATGAAGATGAGATAAGATATAAATTCCAAATCCCTTTATTTTCTACCCAAGGCAATATAATAGATTTTACCCACTTTGCTTCTCAGCCCTCTACTGATAGAGATTTTTATCTCTTCTTTTCCTCTGAGTAGTCTGTATTCCTTCTAAGAAGAAAAAGCAGATAGAGAGGATAGTCTCATGGTGAAGCTCCATGGGCATAATCAGTAACGGCTTCATAGGGGCAAGATGCCTGAGGGCAAGAATGGTGCAACTCCAAATGTTTTTACCTTATTTGTGGCACCAATAGACATAGTCTTTCTCTATTTGAAAAATTAAAAGAACAAGTATACATATATTCAAGGAAGACAAATGTCACAGATTTTTTGTGACATTATATATTTCCAATTTAATTATGAAATATCTTGGGGCACGTGGATGGCTCAGTCGGTTAACCATCTGCCTTCGGTTCAGGTCATGACCCCGGGTGCTGGGATTGAGCCCCACATTGAGCCCCACTGTCGGGCTCCCGACTGTTGGGCTCCCAGCTCTACGGGGGAAACTGCTTCTCCCTCTCCATCTGCCTGCTACTCCCTCTGTTTGTGCTCTCACTCTCTGTGTCAAATAAATAAATAAAATCTTTTAAAAAAATATGAAATATCTCTTGGGCAGGAACATCCAGAGCCTTATACATACTTTAGGAATAATAGTGACTGCTTTTTAATTCTATCTTTTTCTAGGAGAAATGACTACATGGCCAGTGCTCAAAAGTCCTCCTATCACCACCACCACTGGTTAGGTTTAAGCAGCTTTGTCCAGTACTTTCTAGACTCTAGAGCATTGAGTTTATCAGGTACAGAGGAAAAGAAAAGTGTTTGAGGCTGCAGAAACAGGAAATGGTGAGGCCTTGAAAAAGTGTGGCTCTATTTTGATAATAAAAAAAAAAAAACATAGGATGCTCTATGTGCAATGTGTTTCACTGGAGACAAAGCAAACCAATATGGGTCTTAATATTTTAAATTCAGAATATTCTTGTTTGTAGGAAAGCCACGTAGCCAATAAATAAGACTTTTCTCATCTAAAGTAGGATAAAGTGTTTCTCAGTGATCAGTGGGTTGTTATGAAATCACATTAAGCCATTTTCAGCTACTGTCTCAAAGGGTTTCAAAAAACAAAACAAAACAAAAAACAACTCTTCTCCTTTAGCCATCCCTCCCTTACCATAGGTTTATGATTTAGGCAGGATCATTTGGTTGCAAGTCACAGACATTTAACTCAAACCAACTAGCTCAAACAGAGGAATTGATTAGCTTATACAACCAAAGGGCTGGCATGACCTTGGCCTCAAAAATAACTGGAGCTGGGGGCTCACATGGAATCAGAAGTCCTTCTACCTTGGGCAGCCCGGGTGGCTCAGTGGTTTAGCGCTGCCTTCAGCCCAGGGTATGATCCTGGAGACCCAGGATCAAGTCCCACATTGGGCTCCCTGCATGGAGCCTGCTTCTCCCTCTGCCTATGTTGTATCTGTGCCTCTCTCTCTGTCTCTCATGAATAAATAAATAAAATCTTAAAAAAAAAAACTTTCTACCTATTATTTCTGATTCTGTCTGCATAATCTACTTCATTCTCTCAAATCCATACGGGTGAGCAGATAGTGGTAGCGGCTATAGGGATCTCACTGAGCAGGCCTCCTTAGGGCAGATGTTGTTGAGCAAATCTGGAGAGGAACTGAAACTAGGTTTCCACCCTATTTCTCTGGTGTATGAGTTTCCTATTGCTGCCTTAACAAATTACCACAGACATAGTGGCTTAAAACAACAAAAATCCATCTCCTTGCCTTTTGCAGATTTGAGAATACATTCCTAGCTCTTATCCCCCTTCCAACATCTTCACAACTAGCAATGTCCCATGTCTTTGAGCCTGCTTCTGTCATCACCTCTCTGACTACAGCCAAGAAAGTTTTCTCTGCTTTGAAGAACCCATGATTAGGGCAGCCCAGGTGGCTCAGTGGTTTGGTGCCAACTTCAGCCCAGGATGTGATCCTGGAGACCCGGGATCGAGTCCCATGTCAGGCTCCCTACATGGAGCCTGCTTCTCTGCCTGTGTCTCTGTCTCTGTGTCTCTCATAAGTAAATAAAATCTAAAAAAAAAAAAAAGAACCCATGATTAGTTTGGTCCACCTGGACATCCCAGGACAATCTCCCATCACAAAGTCTATACCTTTCATCATATCCACAAAGTTTCTTTTGCCATGGAAAATTCACAGGTTCCAGGGATGAGGGCATGGACAGGGTTGAGGGGCCACTGTTCTGCCCACCACATCATGTTAAGGTGATTGCTCTGGGGATGGACTGACCCATGTAGCACCATTTAGAAGCCTTCCTTCCGAATTTTTTTCTCTTCTTTCTCAAAGATTTTATTTATATGAAAGAGAGCAGGGAGAAAGAGAGCACGAGTGGGGGGAGGGGCAGTGGAAGAGAAAGAAGGAGACTTCCCGCTGACCCCGGAGCCCAATGTTGGGCTTGCTCTCAGGATCCTGGGATCATGACCTGAGCTGAAGGCAAACACTTAACAACTGAGCCACCCAGGTGCCCACGCTCTGAATTTTTTAACTTGAGTTAACCCAAGAATTTTCTCTCTCTGGTTATGGAATTATAAGGATGTGAGTCACTGTCTCCAGAGATCATATTTCCTACCACATGGGATAAATTGGTTTTGGAAAATAAATCCCTTATTCACCATAAAAAATATTCCCAAGTCCAACACTGTCCCATACTTCTAAATGTACATATACAGACATAACTAGGAATTCTAATCCCCATATTTAATCACTCCTTTTTCTCCTTGCCCTTTTCACATTATATGATTAAACATTTAATGGCATGCTTTCTGGAGATGAGGCAGTGTGCTAAGCATTTTACAGTTG